CCCACCGGCTGGGGGGGCCCCGGCGTCCCCTCCCCACCGAGAGCAGCCTTCGGCCTCGTCCCCCTGCCAGCACTGCTCCCTGCCCGGGCCGGTTCTGGCGGGAAAGGTGGGTGTCAGCGAAAACCGCCGCTCCCGACGGGTCTGGGCCAAATTCAGGGCGTTTCGGTCAATCCCGCCAGCGGGGAGAAGCTCCCAACTCCGCGAAGGGCCACGTCCCGCTCCCTGGTGTGTCGGGGGGGGGGGCTGGTTTAGCAGGGTATGGGAAGGACCTTTTTGGGGTAAAAGCCGAGGGAATCGGGGCTGGTTGCCGAGTGGCTCTGCCAACAAACAACCGCCCCGAGAGAAGCAGCGGGCAGGAGCGGGGCCGGGCGGCACGGTGAATCCCCGGCACGGCGCCCACCCCGCACATCTCCGACCTACTTAATTAATTTTTCCCTTTTCACCCCTGTTTCTAAACCTCGAAACATGGCAGGTGCCGAGCGCGGAGTCGCGAGCTGGCGGCAAGGCCGGCCGGATGCCTTTAAACCCATCCGGAGCCGAGCGGGAAATGGTGTTTTTGCACCCAAATGCTGCCCCGGGGCCGCTCTCTCCTTGCCAGGCAGCAACAGGAGCCGCGGCCCCGGCCGGGGTTTTCCCGCTTCCCGCACGAGGAATTTGGCGCGGGAGGCGCTGGGGCGGCCCGGCTGCTCCCCTGGCCTGATGCCGCAGCCCTGGGAACGTGCCGGGCTTCGCACGCCGACTGGCGTTTGTTTTTTTGGCTTAAATGTCTTTATTTTCCCCGCCCCGCTGCGTTGGGCTCCGGGATTCCCTGGCGCCGGTGGGGCCGCTGGTGCCCTTGGCGGGGAGGGAATGCCGCCGTCGCTGCGCCAGGCGCACAAAGTGCCCATTCTTTGCCTTTCCAGGACTTTTTTTCGTTCTTTTTTCCCTCCTTCGCGGGGCCCCGCGGCTGTTTGCGGCACGACTTCGCCCGTGACGTCACTGCGAGCCAATGGGAGGTGCGGCGAGCGCTGGTGCGGCACGGCCCCGGCCGCTCACCAAGCTCCTGCCTGCCGGCAGCGGCTTCGCCCCGGGACAGGGTGGACGGGCAGTGCCAGGCTGCGAAGGCGCTTCAGACAGGCCGGGGGGAGCAGCCTCTGTTTTGGGGGGGAAAAGCCCCGTTTCCATTATTCTCCTGGTGCAGCCCGGTGCAGTCGCCCCATCCCTGAGGCTTTGGGGTTCAGGCCAAGCGGTGACACCGACGGCGCGCCACAGCTCTGGTTCGTAATGAATAAACGATGGGTCTCCCCTCACCCCAGCGCTCGGTGGGTTCGGCTGTGCGTAAAAATCGCCACGCGTTTGGGGCAATTTGGCCTCTTTTGTTGGCGCTCGCTCCTGTCCCGGCAGCTCCGTCCCTCGTGGCCATGTCGGCACAGGGATGCTGCCAGAGTGGATGCCGCAGGGCTGGCATGTGCCGCGGGGACCTGGCAGGTATTTCACGGTGCCGGGGTTGAGGGCAACATGCTGGCAGGGAGAGCAGGTTGGGGCCGGGGCCGGTGGCTGCAGGGACCCTTCCCAAGCTGGATCCTCACCGTGTGCCTGCCGCAGAGTCTGCTGCTGGTAAACCGTGCACTGGGTGCTCGGGATAACCGGGAGGAAGAGCACGACTTCCCTCTGGCAGATGCTGATGCCGCTCGGAGCCGACACGGAGGCTCCGGAGAACATTCAACGCTGTCGGTGAGTTTTGTGGTTGAGGTGAAACCATCGACCGTTGCGTGTGCCCCGTGGCCCACCGGAGCGGCCGGGGGAGTTGCTGCCGCCGCTTTCCCAGTGCCGCCTGCAGCATAGCCCCCTCTCGGTGACACCGCGGCATCCCTGTGGCCTGGCGGTTCCGTCCCATCCCGGGAAGGTCCTCGCTGGGAAGCTCCGGTCCGGAGTGGCATGGTGGGCAGAGCGCGCGATTTCCCAAAGCGACGGGATTTCATCATGGGATGCGGATGGGGCGTCCCTGCGCGGCGCCATTCTGGCGGGTGAGTGTCGCTGTGTCCCCAAGGACCGACATTCGCGCTCGACACCCGTTGCTGGCGGTGGGTCGTGGTGCTGGGGGGGAAACTCCCGTGGGGGAGCAAAAATCCCATTTTTTCTCTAAAAAGTAGGGGCTTAGAGGGCTCTGGGCCCAGCAGGCGACGCCCGGGGGGGGGCCGGGGCTTTGTGTCTCCCCGGGGGTTGTTGTGGGTGATTTTGCTGTCCATTAGCAGATGCTTTACCCGATTCTGGGCTGTTTCAGCCCGAAGGCAGAAGCAAGGGCAGGGATGGGCCGAGCTGCTCCCAGCTTTAGTCCAGGCTTTGGGCGCTCTGCCCCAAACTCGGGTTTTTGGTGTCCCCGCACCACGCTGATGGGGTTTATGGGATGTAAATCCCACGTTTATCCACAAAAAAAGGCATTTCTGGCCGAGGCATTGTGCCATGGGTGTTGGGGAAGGTGCCTGGTGCAGTTTGGGTCCTGCTGGACTCGGGGGGAGCAGCCGGCGGCAGGTCCCCGTGGGGCCAAAACCCCAAATCTGGCCGGGTTTGGCTCTGAGGCGGCTGCAGCAAGAGGGATGCTGGCAAGTGCCACACTGGAGTGGATGCTGCCGGCGAAAGGGGGTTTAAACGCCGGCGTTGCGGGGGTCGGAGCGCTGCGGGGGGGTTCAGGTGCGACCCCCTTGTACCCAGAGAGGGGAAGAGGTGCAGACACCCCCACCCTACCAGGCAGACGCACCGGCTCCAGGCGGCTGCCGGGGGCGGGAGCCGGCCCCAGGCAGCGGCGATTGGCCCTGCCCGGCTCCTCCAGGGAAGGACACGGCACATGGAGCCACATCCTGCCCCAAAACACGCCGGGCAGCGGCCGAGGATGGAGCACAGCCCCGCGTTCGACATGTGGAGGGACTACCTGGGGCTGGCCGCCGTGCTGGCCACGCTGCCACAAGAGCGCGAGGACGCCGGTGACGGCGAAGAGGCAGCGGCATCGCCCATCGCGCCGGAGGCGGCATCGGCGTCCCCCGGCAAATCCCTCTGCGCCTTCTGCAAGCACAATGGGGAGGCGAAGCACGTCTACAGCGGGCACAACCTGCGAGACGCGGGGGGCCGGGTGCAGTGCCCCGTCCTGCGCAGCTACGTCTGCCCACAGTGCGGGGCCACGCAAGACCGGGCCCACACCAAACGCTTCTGCCCCCTCACCCGCCATGGCTACACCTCGGTCTACAGCCACTCGGCGCGCAACTCCGCCGGCAAGCGGGTCACAGGTGGCCGTAGCGCGGCGGGCAGTGCCAAGAAGTAGCTGAGCGCAGACGGACCCTCACCCCAACAGGTACCGGCTTGTTTTTAAACACAGGAGGATTTCTGATCTTGCAGCCCCCAAAAATGGGCTGAAAGTGGGGGTTTCGCTTCCTGGCATGAGGTGAGGATGGGCCACGAGGAAACTCTGCTCTGGTGTTGCCATGCTCTTGCTCCACGGGGCACCAGGCCGGTGGCTTTGCCGGAGGCTGCCAGGCAAAGTTGCTTCTTCAGCAAAGCCTCGCTCCGAAGCGGCAATGCGAGCCTTCCTTTAGCCGGGAACGGGATTCTGGCAAGCTCATTAGGGGAATTATTGCTAATTAAGGAAGGGGAGCTCCCAGCAGTCGGTGCCTGCCCGGGTACACGCGGTGCTCTCCCCTCTCCTTCTCTTCCAGGGGATTGCTCCACTTTGCCCGGCTCCGTCTGCTGCATCGCCCCTGCGAAGCCCCTGGTTCCGCTCTCCTCCAAGGATGAAATGCCAGGACAGTGCACTCCACCAAGACCAGTCTCCCCAGTTGCTCTCCCCAGCTGGTAAAGCCAAGCAGTATCATCCCAGCAGGGCTTTGGTGGTCACCGCTGGCAGAAGCCGCATCAAGATGCCAGCGAAAAGCCTGAAAAGGGTCGGTTTTAACAGCACCTCTGTGCCAGGGGCGTTTGTGGTTGGTTTCAGTTCTGGGTTTTGGGTTGGTTTGTTGTTTTTTATTAATCCGAGCGGGTGCCTGAGGGCAGCGCCAGCTCCTGACCAACCGTCCGGGATGGTCCCGTGGCGGGAAGGGTGCCGGTGCTCCAGCTGTCGCCGAGCACTTGTGCGGCAGCTCCAGGGGGTTGGGCTGCTGTTAGCAGCTCACCCCTGGTGGCTCCTGCCCTCGCTGGAGACGCCAGTTTGTTCTTTAAATGTTATTTCACGCATTACGTGTAGGAAGGTGTTTTATTTATACCCCGTTCTCTGTTGAAATGCTGGTTTATGTTAATAAAGAGCTGAGCCGTGCCGGAGGCCGGATCCGGCTCCGACCCAGCCCTATGTCTCCTTCCACCTCTTCCCGGTGTGTGGGGGGACCGGCACTGGCCCCGGCCGCCTGCTCCGCCGTGGCTTCGGCCTCCTCAGTGCCTCCAGGCCCCGGTAGGCGCTCATTGCCAGGCGGCTGCAGGGAGGGGGGCAGCCGGTGGGCGCCCGTGTCACCCGCGGACCCTTGCGCGTGTTTTACCAACCCCGCGTTCTGGTGCGGAACTCACCCTCCCTCAGCCCTCCTCCGGGGGCCCAATCCCAGGGAAAGGATCCGGATTTCGCGGCCGGTGCGAGCTCGCTCTTACTTGAGGTTGGAGAGCTCCAGGATCAGGCCACAGATGATGTCGGTCGCATCCTCGCTGTGGGCGGGTGGGCGCAGCCCCTCCGGCTCCTCACCCCTGACCATGACAGGGAAGAGGGAAAAGGAGGATGTTTCTACTCACCAAATCGGGACATTTTTCATTAAAATAAGGGTTTTATCCCTCGTGGGAAGGTCTGTCACTGTCCCACCTCTCCAAGACGGTGGGAGCGCATCAGAGCGGGCAATCCACCTACCTGGGCCGTGGCTGGTCCAGGCCGTTCCCCTTGGCGAGTGGCGGCATCTCTTTGGCGTGGCTCTGTCCTGCTGCGGCACGCAGCTCATGCCCGGGCACCACAGAGTTGCGCCAGTTGGCGGCAGGGAGCGGCTGTGGGGAGAAGTTTGTGCGACAATTAAGCTGTGACCGGGGAGCCCGAGTCCAACCCGCTCTCACAAAGATAGTTGGGGTTTTTTCCCCTTTCAGGTTATTTTAGGCACTTTGCGGTGTGCTTGGTATTTCAGGCGTTTTGGGGGATTTCTTTCACGCTATATTAGCGACCTCTGTGGATTTACCTGCTGCAGCGGGAGCTCAAGGCTGTTCCCTTCCAGGCCACGCTGCAGCTCTGGCTGTGGGGAGAGCTGCTCCCTGGTCGAACAGGTCCCGTCCTGGGGGTCTGTGCCAGCATCCGAACCAGTGCTTGCGGCAAGGGGTTGTGTGGTGCCTGTGGGAGCCGGCCCTGGCATAGCCATAATGGCGGGTGTGTTCCCTGTGGTTCTTCCGCTGCACGGGAGGTCGCTGGAGCGAGCGGGGGGCTGCGCATCTGTCCTCGGCACGCTCACTGCATGTTCTATGCTGCATCTCACCTCTGCGTCCCGCTCCTCTGCGAGACCTTCGCCTTCCCTCTTGCCTGAGGAATCCTTGCCAGCCGGGACGGCTGGATCTGGTGCCAAGCTGGTCCCCGGAGAGCAGGTTTCTCCCCTTTCAGCCTCTTCCTGGCCTGTATCAGCTTCTCCCAACATTTTCCACGAGCAGGCATTCCCACCCTGGGGCTGGCTTACTGGAATGATGGTGCCGGCAGTGCCTGCAGTCTCTAGTTCGGTGGTGCCTCCCTCAGCCTTCTGGTCTGTGGACAGGGCACAGACCCCCAAAACCTCCACGGAGACGCCGCCACCGGCCAGGCTGCAGCAGGATTCAGCCACATTCTTCACCGTGTCGTTTGTACCAGTTGCCTGCAGTTGTTCCCCACTCATGTTTTCCTGGTGCTCTCCTCCAGCCACCCTCTTGGATATGGCACCGGATTTTTCTTCAGTGTTTACAACAGATGCGTGCGGCAGCTCCTGGCTTTGATCGGCATCACCTCGGCACTCGCCTGGCTCGCTGTGGTTAACTCCCTCTTCACGGTGAGGCTCAGGCACCTCCGCCGGCAGGCAGCTGCCAGTGCTCCGGCCTGGAGCATCCACAGAGAGAGTGATCTCTCTGCCGGCAGTCCCCTCTCCTCGTGCTGGCGGAGCAGAGCCATGCTCGGGACTGTCACCGAGATTGCCTGTTCTGCGGTGAGTTGGAGTTTCGGCATCCAGCTCTTCACCAGCACTTCTGTGCTGCTCCGTGGTCACCACCAGCTGATCCTCTTCTCTCTCATCCGCCACCGAATTTGCCCATTGTGGTGACTCTGGCTGAGACGCTGCTCCCAGGGCAGCTGCTTCCTGTGACTTGCAGCCTCCACCAATGTCCATGTCTTTTCCTTTCTGAAATAACAAGGTTCCAGCATCACTCCTGTGTTAAAAAAATTCCGATCTCTGGACTTTTTCCTCCGTTAAGGCTGAGTTTGCCAACAGAGGAAAAACAGTGCCGTAGACGAGGCTCTGGCTATGCTGCAAAGGGAGTTTCTCAACACCAGAGCGTTTTGGTGACATCTGGGAGCTTGCCAAGCAAGGCAGGCTTGCCTGGAGCCCAGGACAGGCATACCTGTGGTAAGGGGCTGGGGATACGCTCCTCCGCCCGGCTTTGCTCCAGAGCAGCCACCTCCCTGTCGCCATTCGCACTGCTAAGAACAATAAAACACATTCAGTGAGTGACAAGGCGATTGCCAGGTAGGTCACTGGTTCACCCGCAGACCCCGTCTCGCCCTGTTACCTCGTCGGTGCCTTTGTCGTGGTGCTGTCATGGGTCATCTGTCCCTGAGATTTTGGTTTTCCATCGGCATCGTTGGTCTGAGCTGGTCCAGTCACGTCTAAGCTGTCATCTGCCTTTGCATCCAAATCTTCCTGAAGCCTTTTTTTAGTTTTGGGAACGTGGCATTTACCGTCTCCTTTTCAGGGGAAAAATATAATCCTCAGATATCAGCCTTTGAGGTAAGAGGGACTTGGTGTCGTGTCGGATAGGGAGAACAGCCTTTGTAGTGGCTTTCTGTTATTTTTTATTATTAAATCCTAGGACCTCCCCCCCACACACACACCTCTAACACTTGAACTGAGGGGAAAAGATCGCTTTTAGGGCTTTTGTGGGGTGTCAGCTTTGCTCCACCCACCCCTTCTTGGAAACGCCAAGAAACAGGGTTTGCGGCACAAGGGGCTTGGCCCCAGCTCAGCGGGTGCTGCTTGCTGCCTCACCAACTGCCAGTGGAAAGTCGCTTGGTTTTGTCTTTTATCCCCATAATAACCCCTATTTCCTACAGACTCGTAGCAAGATGAGGGGACGTTTGGGGAAGCTACCCAGGCAGCGCATGGCACAGAGGTAGCAAGCAGCCCTGAACTCCGAAAGGCACAGCGTGGTCTGAGGGGATTTGATGAAAGAGGTGCGGAAAAGGTGAACGCTGGGTGTCGTTTTGCTTACAAATCGGGCCAGTTTTGCAATTTAGCAGGTTTGTAATAAGCCTGGACGGTTTTAGGAGTGCTTGTTACCAAGTGAATACAAGGAGCAAGACAGGGAAATGTGGGGCAGGCTGGTGGGGCTCCTCACCACCCCCGTCCCCTCGCTGCTGGGGCCTCCCGCCGATACCTGGCGGCTGCTTGTTCTTCTGTTTGCCCATCCTGCCGCTTGCCTGAGTGGGGAGAACAGAATGGGGCTTAACGAGCAGCCTCTCCTTGCTTCCTCCAGAGGTGTTTTGCCCTCAGGGCTGACCCAGCCCTTGTGCATCACCAGAGCCCACAGCCGTTTGCCTCTCCCTGGGGCCCAGCACTGCCCCAGCCGCCCCCCCCGTGGCCGTGGCCGCAGCAGGAGGAACCAAACCCTCCAGTTCTGAGGTGAGAAACGTGGAATTTCACCCATTTCCACCCCCCGACCCGCGTCGGTCTCCCCCATCACCTCACGCTTTTCCCGCCTTTTCGCGCAGGTTCCCCGGCCGCGCATGCGCGGCGCGGGGCGCGCCGGGAGTTGTAGTCTTCTCCGGGCGCCGTCAAGCGAAACGCGACGGCGACGGCGGCTTTTGCGACGGCGGCGCCGTAAAGCGCGGCGTGTTGTTGACAGCGGCGGGCGGAGTAGGAAGTGAGTGTGGATGGGACCGGGACCACGGAGGGGAGCGGGGAGCCGGGTGTGTGGGGGGGTTAGGGGTCATTTCTGA